AACTGTGAAATTTGCCTCCTTTCAAAGTTCACCCGTTTCCCCTTCCATAGTGTGGCTGGCAGGAGCAAAAAGCCGTTGGAGCTGGTCCACATGGACTTGGTGGGGCCGCTGCCGGTGCAAGGGCACAAGGGGGAGCGGTACTTCCTAACCATAGTGGATGACTGGAGCAGGCTAATGTGGGCGTATCCGCTGAAGCAGAAAGATCACGCCGCCTCCACGATTCGGGACGATTGGCTGCCGTTAGTGGAGAAGCAAGCGGAGTGTGTCGTGAAGCGGATTAGGACAGATCGGGGTGGTGAGTTCCTTGGAGCTGAGATGACGGCCTGGCTCAAGAAGCAGGGCATCCAGAGGGAGCTGACCACGGCTTACACCCCACAGTCCAACGGTGTAGCAGAACGGGCGAACCGGACAATTCTGGAGACAGCTAGGGCGCTGCTCATAGAATCTGGGCTGGGCAACTTGATGTGGCCCCATGCTGTTCGGCACGCTACCGTCGCTAGGAACAGGGTACTCACAAAGGTTGGGGATGACTCGTGGGTGCCGTTGGAGAGGTGGCTTGGGAGGAAGCCGCCGGTGGACATGCTGAGGGTGTTCGGTTGCATGGCAGTCGCCCACGTCCCCAAGACCTACCGCAGTAAGTTGGGGGCGAGTGCAATCTGGTGTGTCCATTTGGGGCTGGCTGCTGAGAGCAAGGGATGGCTGCTGTGGGAACCTTCCAAGGGTGTGTTGTTTGACAGCAGGGATGTGAAGTTTGTTGAGGGCATGATGTATGGGAGCTGGGAGAAACAGCCGGAGGCCAGGGTGTCCCAGCAGATGGAGCAGATTACCATGCAGCTGGACCTGACTCCTAGTGTGTGGGAGGAGGGAGAGGAGGCAGCTGCAGAGGGTGGTGATAAAGAGAAGGTGCAGGAGGCACCTGCTGGTGGAGGTGATGGTGTGGAGATTAGCGGTAGCACTAGTGGAGCTGCTGGATCCGAGGGAGGAGAGCAGCAGCAGGGGAAAACTAAGAAGCCGAAGGGTGTTATTATGAAGGGATGGGAGACACCCGTCTCCAGGCCAGGACGTACCCGTATGGCTACTAAGAAGCTGACTGCAGGAGCTGATGTAGCGGAGCAGCAGCTTGGGACCGAGGAGGCATTGCTGATTCTACCGCATGGCTATGACCCGGATGAGGAGGATCAACCTGCGTACTGTTTTCTTGCCCCTGCACCAGAGGAACCAGCTAGCATGGAGGAGGCATTAGCTGGACCAGATAGGGACAAATGGCTAGCTTCCAGGGATGCTGAGTACCAGAGCCTGCTGGAGAATGGGACTTGGGAACTAGTGGTGCTGCCTGAGGGAAAGAAAGCGGTACAATGCAAGTGGGTGCTAAGGATCAAGACTGACGACAAGGGGCAGGTCACCATCTACAAGAGTAGGTTGGTGGCTAAGGGGTTTATGCAGAAGGAGAAGCGGGACTTCAATGAGATCTTTGCTCCCACTGTCAAACCCCCTACCCTTCGTGTCTTGTTGGCAGATGCAGCCGTTGGTGGGAAGTTCATTATCCAGATGGATATATCAACGGCATTCCTCAATGGGATTTTAGAGGAGGAGGTGTTCATGACGCAGCCGCCTGGGTATGAGGATGGTACGGGCAGGGTGTGCAAGCTGAAAAAGTCCATCTACGGCTTGAAGCAGGCGCCACGCTGCTGGTACCAGAAGTTGGCAGCTGTTTTAGAGGAGATGGGATTCAGGACCAGCAGCTGTGATGAGAGCCTCTTTCTCAAGGGGGAGGGGGAGAAGCTGGTGCTGTTTCTGGTCTATGTGGACGACATTCTTCTCTTTAGCAGCAGCATGAAGGAGATCCAGAAGGTGCAGCAGCAGCTGATGGAGAACTTCAAGTGCAAGAACCTTGGGGAGGTAAAGTACTACCTCGGGATGCACGTGGAGAGGGATCTGGATCACAGGTGGTTGAAGCTGCACCAGGAGAAGTTCATCAAGGAGCTTGGGGAGAAGTACGGAATTGAGAATGAGCGCAAGGTTGCAACTCCCCTGCCATCAGAATTCAAGCTTGTGAAAGCTGCAGAGGATGAAGGGGTTGAAGCTGAGGAGCAGCAGCAATTTCAGTCCTTGGTGGGCAGCCTCTTGTATGCAGCAGTTCACACGAGGCCCGACATCTCTTTCTCGGTTGGGCAGCTGGCTAGGGTAGTGCAGAATCCATCAGAGGAGCAAGTGGATGCAGCTGAGCGTGTGGTGAAGTATCTGAACTCTCACCCAAGCATTGGAGTTCAATACTCCGCATCTGCACAGGTGAAGCAGAAAGGGGTTGAGGTGCTGAAAGAGAAGGGGGAGAGGCTTGGAGAAGGCAAGCTTTTTCTCACTTGCTTTACTGATGCTACGTGGGCCTCTGAGAAGGAGGATTCCTCATCTGTGGGAGGATACATCTGCGTAGTTGGGGGAGGACCGGTTAGTTGGAGGTCAAAGAAGCAGACGGAGACAGCACTCTCTTCCGTGGAATCAGAGTACATGGCGATGTTCCATGGGGTGAAGGAGGTGATTTGGCTGAGGAGGCTGTTGGAGGAGATTGGCCAGGAGCAAAAGGTTGCTACGCCGCTGTTTTGTGATAGCAAGGGAGCTCTTGGGATGGCCAGGAACGCTGTGCTTCATGGGCTCAATAAGCACATGCGTATCAAGTGGCACTGGCTGCGTAAGGAGGTGAAGAGGGGGACGGTGAATCCGATCTACATCAAGACTCACCAGCAGCCAGCAGACTTCCTCACCAAGAGGCTTGCGGATGAGTCTCATTGGCGTTGTGTGCGCATGAGTGGAATGAGCATGAACTAGTATGGAATGATGGGGATGCAGCCGGCAGGCTGAGGGAGAGTGTGTTGGGTGCAAATTCACATTGCACGACATCCTGCCGTCTGTTTGTACGAGTATGCGTGTGCGAATGCATTTGCGTGTGAATGGTATGTTTGTGTGTTTGTTTGCTTTCGCAATTTTCGCTTGAAGCATTTGCAGGTACTCGCAAAATGTGCGCTTCGGCATAACATTGTACGCGCTATGAACAGTACAAGCAGAAAGGACGAGCTCGCAAAGGAACCCAAGATGGAAGCTTTGCGGTTCAACTTACTTGATTGCGCAGATTCAGTTCTATCCAACTCGAAATTGTACTGTTTTGTTTGGTTGACTATAGTGTAGCAGGGCAGGCACTATAGGGGTACAATTTAGGTGAAGGTTGGATGTTGTTTGTCTGTATCTGCATGCTACAGGGCCAGGGGAAACCAGCGGAACCAGCATTTGGCTGGTTGGGCAAAGACAAAACAGGTTCTGTTTTTAGGACCTGAACCTGGTTGTTGTTTTTCCCAGGTTGGAAAAACAGAACCAGAGGTTGTTCACCAACCTATCACCTGCTATTTTGTCCAGCCAGGTTGGTTCTGTTGCTTGGAATTATTTGGGATCATCCCTGGTTGTTCCCAGGTTGATTCCCAAGGTCCTTGCTAGCTAGAGCTATTTATTCCTTCTCTGTTTGTACCTGAATATAGTGAAATTGATTCAAGCGAATTCCTTCCTTGCTGGAATTTCTTTTCTACGCGGTGCGACGGCGGAATGCTACCCGAGTCAACGCTAGTACGCTAGCACTCCAACGCTAGGCTAACGCTGTCCGAGCCATAACTTCGTAATGGCAGAACTTTTCGCGAGGCAACTTGGCTTATTTTAAAGCTCTTAGAGTGAGCTTCGATATAGGAAATTCTCAGCTTAATCCGATCGACGGTCTGCACGATACGCTGCGCGACGTTCAAGGTACTCTTGCTGTTTTGACTAAGTCCCTCTTGATCCCTCTCTCTACAAACTCGGACCCGAGGATAGGGGCTGGTCTTGTACCAGGCACCCAAGGACCCTTGGAGGTGACCCCGAGGAGAGGTTTTAAGTGTGATAAAGTCTTAATAGCTTGAGTTTATTAGGCCCTTACACCAACAGTCTCTTTATTCGCATATCCCCCCACAGGCTTTACATCCTTGCCTGTATGGACGATTTGGTGCTGCTTGCTGAGGACTACGCCGATCTTGCAGCTGTCAAGAAATCCCTGCAGGCGCTTCTCATGTGCAAGGACCTTAGCAAGCTTTGTCACTACCTCGGCATGGAGATCCGTCGTGATCGTGCTCCCCGCACCATCTCTCTCTCCCAGTCTTTCTATATCCAGTCCATCCTCCAGTGGTTTGAGATGTCGCAGGCCAAGCCGTTCTCCACCCCTCTTCCCGCTAACCGTCAACTCACTGCCCCAGCCGTCTCTGCTCCCTCCTCTAAGCTGCAGCCTTATCCTGAGCTCGTTGGATCTCTCATGTATGCTATGATGTGCACTCGCCCCGACCTTGCTTACCCCCTCAGTGTTCTCTCTCGCTTTGTTGGTCTAGGCCGCCACACTGACGTGCACTAGGCAGCTGCTAAGCGCGTCCTGCGCTATCTGCGCGCTACCTCTGACCTTGCTCTCACTCTTGGTGGCTCTTTTCCTCCCATTCTCTCTGGCTACAGTGACTCTTTGTATGCTGACTCCCGCCCTGATCGCCGCTCATCTCAGGGCTATGGTTTCACTCTTAGCAGTGTTCTCAGCTCTACTCGCTCATCCTTTGTATGCCTTTCCACCTGCGAGGCTGAGTTGTACCTAGGCACCTTGGCAGCTCAGGAGGCTCGTTGGCTCTCCTTTCTCCTTGCTGAGCTTGGTCACTCTCAGTCCTCTGTGACGCTCTCCTGTGACAGTGCGAGCATGATTCATCTCACTCAAAATCCTGTCTATCACGCCCGCAGCAAACATATCGAGGTCCGCTATTTCTTTGTGCGCGAGCTGGTGTAGTCTGGTTTCTTACGTCTGCGCAAGGTGGACGCTGCTGCCAACCTTGCTGACATTTTCACCAAGGCCCTTCTGCGTGCACCACACCGTTTTTACGTGCGCGAGCTTGGGCTCACGCGTCTTGTCAAACTCATATGCTTTAGTCTGTGTAGGCTGTAGTGGGGTAGACAATATGGGGTACAACACTTTTCCTACTTGTACCCACCTGCTTGCTAGTTCATCCATTCCTCGTTCTCTCACATGGTATAGAGTAGGTTCCCTAGTGGGAACGTTTCCTAGGGCCCACCGAATATCGATTTTTTTCTCCTGCCCGGAGCGTGTTTCGCCCCTGCCCGAGTCGCTCCCCGTGTGCCTACCCTCCCGTCGCGTCCCCTGCCCTTAGTGGCCCGTCGCGCTCCCTCACGGCCCCGTAGCGGCCCCTCTCACGGCCTCTCACGGCCCCTCTCACGGCCCCTTCGTGGCCCATTCGTGGCCCCTTCGTGGCCCCTTCAGGCCCCTCGTGGCCCCTTCGCGCACTCTCTTCGCAGCCCCTTCGCGGCCCCTTCACGGCCCCTTCGCGGCACCTTCGCGGCCCCTTTGCGGCCCCTTCACGGCCCCTTCGTGGCCCCTTCACGGCCCCTTCGTGGCACCTTCACGGCCCCCTCGCGGCTCCCTTCGCGGCCCCATCGCGGCCCCGCCCCGCTGCGTGTAGCGGCCCCGCCCTGTCGCTAATCGCGGCCCTGCCCCGTCGCCAGTTGCGGCCTTGCCCCGTCGCCAGTAGCGGACCCGCAGCGTCCCCCCCGCCTCGTCGCGACGCCCCTAAGGGACCCGCGAGGCGCAGCTCCTGTGCGTCGCAACGACCCTGCGGGACGCGCGTGGCGTCAACCCTGCCCGCCGCGGCGCCCTGCCCTAACCCGCGCCCTGGTGTAGCCGCCACTACAGCAGCCGCCCCTGGAGCAGCCGCCACTGCAGCAGCCGCCCCTGGAGCACCCTCCCCTGCAGCAGCCGCCCCTGGAGCAGCCGCCCCTGAAGTAGCCGTCCCTAGAGCAGCCGCCCCTAGAGCAGCCGCCACTTCAGCAGCCGCCCCTGGAGCAGCCTCCCCTGCAGTAGCCGCCCCTAGAGCAGCCGCCTCTGAAGCAGCCGCCCCAGGAGCAGCCGCCACTGCAGCAGCCGCCCCTGGAGCAGCCACCTCTGCAGTAGCCGCCCCTGGAGCAGCCGCCCCTGCCGCAGCTGCAACCGCCCCTGGAGCAGCCGCCCCTGCCGCAGCTGCCCCTGGAGCAGCCGCCACTGCAACAGCCGCCCCTGTAGCAGCCACCACTGCAGCAGCCGCCCCTGCAGCAACCGCCTCTGGAGCAGCCACCCCTGCAGCTGCCGCGGAGCCCTCGCCCTATAGTGGTAGCGGCCTCGCCATTGCCGCCGTGGTATGCCTGCCCTTCTCGCCACTGGTGAGCACTGCCCTGCCCGTACTGCTGTTACTGCTGCTCTTGCTGCTATTGCTCTTTCTAATGCTACTGCTACTCCTGGCGTGGCCAGATGCAGCTCCAGCAACGTCCGCGTGAGTCCCTCGACCCCCAACAGCTTCGTGAGTGGTACGCTAGTTGGGGTTGTAGGGGTGGCCGTAGTGGGAGTCGTCCTGGACTGAGTAGTTCGGCAGCTGCTTGTAGTGGCCAGGTGCAGCTGCAGCGTCGTCCGTGCGCGGTCCTTTCGCCCCAGCAGCTTCGTGTATGGTACGCTCAGCGTGACGGGTTACGGGGTACTGATCGCTGTCCGTACGTCATTCGCACTGGTGCTCGGACTGGTCACCCTTGTGGGATGTTTGGTCACGCAGAGTCCCGCTGCTTTGCGCGCCTGAGCGACGCCTGGCGTACGGAGTTTGGCGACGCGGCTGAACTCCCCGACTGGGTGGAGTTGCTTAGGCTGCGGGTAGATATCTAGACTCTTGACTATGATGCTATCCTCACTGCCATATATGCATTGCCTACTAGTGATGAGGGTGACTGTTACCTGTGTGTTCCGCTTGACCCGGGCATTGAGACTGCTGCTCTAGGTGCTAGTACGTCTGCTGCTCCAGGTCCTAGTGAGTCTGCTGCCCCAGGTGCTGGTGAGTCTGCTCTCTCAGGTACCATGTCGGCTTAGGCCTTACACACCTTCACCCTTGACTCGGGTGCTTCCCGCTCCTTCTTTCAAGACCGCACCACACTCACGCCGCTTAGTCGGCTAGTTGCTGTTGGTGTAAGGGCCTAATAAACTCAAGCTATTAAGACTTTATCACACTTAAAACCTCTCCTCAGGGTCACCTCCAAGGGTCCTTGGGTGCCTGGTACAAGACCAGCCCCTATCCTCGGGTCCGAGTTTGTAGAGAGAGGGATCAAGAGGGACTTAGTCAAAACAGCAAGAGTACCTTGAACGTCGCGCAGCGTATCGTGCAGACCGTCGATCGGATTAAGCTGAGAATTTCCTATATCGAAGCTCACTCTAAGAGCTTTAAAATAAGCCAAGTTGCCTCGCGAAAAGTTCTGCCATTACGAAGTTATGGCTCGGACAGCGTTAGCCTAGCGTTGGAGTGCTAGCGTACTAGCGTTGACTCGGGTAGCATTCCGCCGTCGCACCGCGTAGAAAAGAAATTCCAGCAAGGAAGGAATTCGCTTGAATCAATTTCACTATATTCAGGTACAAACAGAGAAGGAATAAATAGCTCTAGCTAGCAAGGACCTTGGGAATCAACCTGGGAACAACCAGGGATGATCCCAAATAATTCCAAGCAACAGAACCAACCTGGCTGGACAAAATAGCAGGTGATAGGTTGGTGAACAACCTCTGGTTCTGTTTTTCCAACCTGGGAAAAACAACAACCAGGTTCAGGTCCTAAAAACAGAACCTGTTTTGTCTTTGCCCAACCAGCCAAATGCTGGTTCCGCTGGTTTCCCCTGGCCCTGTAGCATGCAGATACAGACAAACAACATCCAACCTTCACCTAAATTGTACCCCTATAGTGCCTGCCCTGCTACACTATAGTCAACCAAACAAAACAGTACAATTTCGAGTTGGATAGAACTGAATCTGCGCAATCAAGTAAGTTGAACCGCAAAGCTTCCATCTTGGGTTCCTTTGCGAGCTCGTCCTTTCTGCTTGTACTGTTCATAGCGCGTACAATGTTATGCCGAAGCGCACATTTTGCGAGTACCTGCAAATGCTTCAAGCGAAAATTGCGAAAGCAAACAAACACACAAACATACCATTCACACGCAAATGCATTCGCACACGCATACTCGTACAAACAGACGGCAGGATGTCGTGCAATGTGAATTTGCACCCAACACACTCCCCCTCAGCCTGCCGGCTGCATCCCCATCATTCCATACTAGTTCATGCTCATTCCACTCATGCGCACACAACGCCAATGAGACTCATCCGCAAGCCTCTTGGTGAGGAAGTCTGCTGGCTGCTGGTGAGTCTTGATGTAGATCGGATTCACCGTCCCCCTCTTCACCTCCTTACGCAGCCAGTGCCACTTGATACGCATGTGCTTATTGAGCCCATGAAGCACAGCGTTCCTGGCCATCCCAAGAGCTCCCTTGCTATCACAAAACAGCGGCGTAGCAACCTTTTGCTCCTGGCCAATCTCCTCCAACAGCCTCCTCAGCCAAATCACCTCCTTCACCCCATGGAACATCGCCATGTGCTCTGATACCACGGAAGAGAGTGCTGTCTCCGTCTGCTTCTTTGACCTCCAACTAACCGGTCCTCCCCCAACTACGCAGATGTATCCTCCCACAGATGAGGAATCCTCCTTCTCAGAGGCCCACGTAGCATCAGTAAAGCAAGTGAGAAAAAGCTTGCCTTCTCCAAGCCTCTCCCCCTTCTCTTTCAGCACCTCAACCCCTTTCTGCTTCACCTGTGCAGATGCGGAGTATTGAACTCCAATGCTTGGGTGAGAGTTCAGATACTTCACCACACGCTCAGCTGCATCCACTTGCTCCTCTGATGGATTCTGCACTACCCTAGCCAGCTGCCCAACCGAGAAAGAGATGTCGGGCCTCGTGTGAACTGCTGCATACAAGAGGCTGCCCACCAAGGACTGAAATTGCTGCTGCTCCTCAGCTTCAACCCCTTCATCCTCTGCAGCTTTCACAAGCTTGAATTCTGCTGGCAGGGGAGTTGCAACCTTGCGCTCATTCTCAATTCCGTACTTCTCCCCAAGCTCCTTGATGAACTTCTCCTGGTGCAGCTTCAACCACCTGTGATCCAGATCCCTCTCCACGTGCATCCCGAGGTAGTACTTTACCTCCCCAAGGTTCTTGCACTTGAAGTTCTCCATCAGCTGCTGCTGCACCTTCTGGATCTCCTTCATGCTGCTGCTAAAGAGAAGAATGTCGTCCACATAGACCAGAAACAGCACCAGCTTCTCCCCCTCCCCCTTGAGAAAGAGGCTCTCATCACAGCTGCTGGTCCTGAATCCCATCTCCTCTAAAACAGCTGCCAACTTCTGGTACCAGCAGCGTGGCGCCTGCTTCAAGCCGTAGATGGACTTTTTCAGCTTGCACACCCTGCCCGTACCATCCTCATACCCAGGCGGCTGCGTCATGAACACCTCCTCCTCTAAAATCCCATTGAGGAATGCCGTTGATATATCCATCTGGATAATGAACTTCCCACCAACGGCTGCATCTGCCAACAAGACACGAAGGGTAGGGGGTTTGGCAGTGGGAGCAAAGATCTCATTGAAGTCCCGCTTCTCCTTCTGCATAAACCCCTTAGCCACCAACCTACTCTTGTAGATGGTGACCTGCCCCTTGTCGTCAGTCTTGATCCTTAGCACCCACTTGCATTGTACCGCTTTCTTTCCCTCAGGCAGCACCACTAGTTCCCAAGTCCCATTCTCCAGCAGGCTCTGGTACTCAGCATCCCTGGAAGCTAGCCATTTGTCCCTATCTGGTCCAGCTAATGCCTCCTCCATGCTAGCTGGTTCCTCTGGTGCAGGGGCAAGAAAACAGTACGCAGGTTGATCCTCCTCATCCGGGTCATAGCCATGCGGTAGAATCAGCAATGCCTCCTCGGTCCCAAGCTGCTGCTCCGCTACATCAGCTCCTGCAGTCAGCTTCTTAGTAGCCATACGGGTACGTCCTGGCCTGGAGACGGGTGTCTCCCATCCCTTCATAATAACACCCTTCGGCTTCTTAGTTTTCCCCTGCTGCTGCTCTCCTCCCTCGGATCCAGCAGCTCCACTAGTGCTACCGCTAATCTCCACACCATCACCTCCACCAGCAGGTGCCTCCTGCACCTTCTCTTTATCACCACCCTCTGCAGCTGCCTCCTCTCCCTCCTCCCACACACTAGGAGTCAGGTCCAGCTGCATGGTAATCTGCTCCATCTGCTGGGACACCCTGGCCTCCGGCTGTTTCTCCCAGCTCCCATATATCATGCCTGTTGGTGTAAGGGCCTAATAAACTCAAGCTATTAAGACTTTATCACACTTAAAACCTCTCCTCGGGGTCACCTCCAAGGGTCCTTGGGTGCCTGGTACAAGACCAGCCCCTATCCTCGGGTCCGAGTTTGTAGAGAGAGGGATCAAGAGGGACTTAGTCAAAACAGCAAGAGTACCTTGAACGTCGCGCAGCGTATCGTGCAGACCGTCGATTGGATTAAGCTGAGAATTTCCTATATTGAAGCTCACTCTAAGAGCTTTAAAATAAGCCAAGTTGCCTCGCGAAAAGTTCTGCCATTACGAAGTTATGGCTCGGACAGCGTTAGCCTAGCGTTGGAGTGCTAGCGTACTAGCGTTGACTCGGGTAGCATTCCGCCGTCGCATCGCGTAGAAAGAAAATTCCAGCAAGGAAGGAATTCGCTTGAATCAATTTGACTATATCCAGGTACAAACAGAGAAGGAATAAATAGTTCTAGCTAGCAAGGACCTTGGAAATGAACCTGAGAACAAGCAGGGATGATCCCAAATAATTCCAAGCAACAGAACCAACCTGGCTGGACCAAATAGCAGGTGATAGGTTGGTGAACAACCTCTGGTTCTGTTTTTCCAACCTGGGAAAACAACAACCAGGTTCAGGTCCTAAAAACAGAACCTGTTTTGTCTTTGCCCAACAAGCCAAATGCTGGTTCCGCTGGTTTCCCCTGGCCCTGTAGCATGCAGATACAGACAAACAACATCCAACCTTCACCTAAATTGTACCCCTATAGTGCCTGCCCTGCTACACTATAGTCAACCAAACAAAACAGTACAATTTCGAGTTGGATAGAACTGAATCTGCGCAATCAAGTAAGTTGAACCGCAAAGCTTCCATCTTGGGTTCCTTTGCGAGCTCGTCCTTTCTGCTTGTACTGTTCATAGCGCGTACAATGTTATGCCGAAGCGCACATTGTACGAGTACCTGCAAATGCTTCAAGCGAAAATTGCGAAAGCAAACAAACACACAAACATACCATTCACACGCAAATGCATTCGCACACGCATACTCGTACAAACAGACGGCAGGATGTCGTGCAATGTGAATTTGCACCCAACACACTCCCCCTCAGCCTGCCGGCTGCATCCCCATCATTCCATACTAGTTCATGCTCATTCCACTCATGCGCACACAACGCCAATGAGACTCATCCGCAAGCCTCTTGGTGAGGAAGTCTGCTGGCTGCTGGTGAGTCTTGATGTAGATCGGATTCACCGTCCCCCTCTTCACCTCCTTACGCAGCCAGTGCCACTTGATACGCATGTGCTTATTCAGCCCATGAAGCACAGCGTTCCTGGCCATCCCAAGAGCTCCCTTGCTATCACAAAACAGCGGCGTAGCAACCTTTTGCTCCTGGCCAATCTCCTCTAATAGCCTCCTCAGCCAAATCACCTCCTTCACCCCATGGAACTGTTGGGTGCAAATTCACATTGCACGACATCCTGCCGTCTGTTTGTACGAGTATGCGTGTGCGAATGCATTTGCGTGTGAATGGTATGTTTGTGTGTTTGTTTGCTTTCGCAATTTTCGCTTGAAGCATTTGCAGGTACTCGCAAAATGTGCGCTTCGGCATAACATTGTACGCGCTATGAACAGTACAAGCAGAAAGGACGAGCTCGCAAAGGAACCCAAGATGGAAGCTCTGCGGTTCAACTTACTTGATTGCGCAGATTCAGT